TTATATACTGTGATATATACACCACACCACTGCTCTATATATATTATAGAGAAGGATCACTTTGAGATATATTGTATATATATGTATACTATATTTATATATTAATATATATGTATGATTTGTGTGTGTGTGTGTGTATGTATGTATATGGCAGGACCACTGGTTAACTTAATAGTAGGGAAAAATCTCAGATTCTTCCCAGTTGTTGACCACTGATTGACTTCTATTAATGTTTATGAAGAGTGTATGTATGACCCATTGAGAGTACTAAATAAATATTTGTTGTTAGTAATTAGAGAATGAAAAAGAAATGACACTACAGCATATATAGTTAATATACATATACACACACACACATATTTTTTTCTATCTCTAATGATCACTAAATATCAAAAGTGTTTTTTCCAATTCTGTGAAGAAACTCATTGGTAGCTTGATGGGGATGGCATTGAATCTATAAATACCTTGGGCAGTATGGCCATTTCACGATATTGATTCTTAAAGTTCATAATGGAACCAAAAAAGAGCCCGCATCTCCAAGACAATCCTAAGTCAAAAGAACAAAGCTGGAGGCATCACGCTACCTGACTTCAAACTATACTACAAGGCTTCAGTAACCAAAGCCATGGTACTGGTACCAAAACAGAGGATACTAGACCAATGGAACAGAACAGAGTCCTCAGAAATAATACCACCACATCTCACAGCCATCTGATCTTTGACAAACACTGAGAGAAACCAAGAAATGAGGAAAGGATTCCCTATTTAATAAATGGTGCTGGGAAAAATGGCTAGCCATAAATAGAAAGCTGAAACTGGATCCTTTCCTTACTCCTTATACCGAAAATTAATTCAAGATGGATTATAGACTTAAATGTTAGACCTATCACCATAAAATCCTAGAAGAAAACCTAAGGTAGTACCATTCAGGACATAGGCATGGGCAAAGACTTCATGTCTAAACACCAAAAGCAATGGCAGCAAAAGCCAAAATTGACAAATGGGATCTCATTAAACTGAAGAGCTTCTGCACAGCAAAAGAAATTACCATCAGAGTCAACAGGGCAAACCTAACAGAATGGGAGAAAATTTTTGAAATCTACTCATCTGACAAAGGGCTAATATCCAGAACCTACAAGAACTCAAACAAATTTACAAGAAAAAAACAAACAACGCCCCATCAAAAGTGGGCAAAGGATATGAACATGACATTTCTCAGAAGAAGACATTCATACAGCCGACAGACCACATGAAAAAATGCTCATCATCACTGGCCATCAGAGAAATGCAAATCAAAACCACAATGACGATACCATCTCACCACCAAGTTAGAATTGGCGATCATTAAAAAAAAGTCAGGAAACAACAGGTGCTGGAGAGGATGTGGAGAAATAGGAACACTTTTTCACTGTTGGTGGGATTGTAAACTAGTTCAATCATTTTGGAAAACAGTATGGCGATTCCTCAAGGATCTAGGACTAGATGTACTCCATATGACCCAGGCCATCCCATTACTGGGTATATACCCAAGGATATAAATCATGCTGCTATAAAGACACATGCACACATATGTTTATTGCGGCACTATTCACAATAGGCCAAAGAACTTGGAATCAACCCAAATGTCCATCAGTGACAGGACCTGATTAAGAAATATGTGGGCAATATACACACCATGGAATACTATGCAGCCATAAAAAAGGATGAATTTGTGCCTTGTAAGCGGGATGGATGCAGGCTGGAAACCCTTCATTCTTGAGCAAACTATCACAAGACAAACAGAAAACCAACACACGCATGTTCCTCACTCATGGTGAGGAACTTAAAATCGAGATCACTTGGACTCGGAAGGGGAACATCACACACCGGGGCCTATCAGTGGGAGGAGAGCGAGGGATTGCATTGGAGTTATACCTGATTAAATTGACGTGTGTGATGGGTGCACGCACACCACATGGCACGAGTCTACATAAGCTGTAAAACAAAACCTGCACCCGTTATGCACATGTTCCCTTTAGACTTAAAGTATAATAATAATAATAAATAAAAAAATTCAAAGTTTTCAAGAAACGTTGAGATATTTCTTCTTAAAAAATTGTTCTCTCTCTTATGATTTAGTTTTAAAGTCCTCATTTTTAGGTTAAAATACTAGACTCAGTTACCTTCCTAACTTTTTGATTTTGCTTGGTGTCCTCAGTGTCAAGAGTTGCTCTCTGGCTGTTGTTCTACTTCATTAAAATTGTCTTTTTCTACCTTAAAAAAAAAAAAATCAAAAGTGATGGTTTAGAGAGGCTTTCTCTTCTACACTATTCTTACCATTCTCATGTGAAGACTTAATACACAATAAACAAAATTAGAAATATGTTTCATTTTAAGTGCGTTTATTTTTCCCAATGAAATTAATTAGGATAAAAGTGAAAAATGTAATATTCAGGGAAATTATTTTTAATTATTTGCATACATTACTTTATTTTCTTGGCCTACCCTAACCAACCCAAATCTAAACTACACTCTCAAGTACTTCCAGTCTCCTTTATCCACTGTTTTTTTTTTTTTTTGTCTTAGCATTGATTACCTGTAATCTAATAAAAACCTTTTAAAAAATGTGTTATATTTACTGAGCTTTTTTCCTAAAATGTACGCTTCACAAAGAAGAAATTCTTGTCCATCTGTTTATTGAGAAACAGTTCTCCATGAGTCATTTTGATTTCTGTACATCTTATAAGTAGAGACACTACAGCCTTTTGCTCTCTACTGTCTTTTCAAGGATATGTGTAGAGCAAACATTCTTGGAAGAAATCATAGATAGTCCCTTCCTTCAAAACAGAGGACACGTTTCTTTTCTTCCCAGTATAATAAATGTAATATATCCCTTCATGGCCAAAGTTTGGCATATTTAGTTGCATACCACTATAAAAGATTAGGGTTAATCTTTCACAATGTTATGCAAGCTTCTTAAACTTGTATAATGGTGTGCAATCTTCTTAAACTTGGGGTTCCTTAGCAGTGATGCAAACTTACTGTGTGCACAGCATTCTCCAAAGTCATTCTGTGTCACTCCATATGACTTAAAAGGCAATTGAAACTGGAACCAACATGAAGGTCATATTGTCCATTGTGCCATGAGTTATAAATTCCTTTGCCTCTACCCCAGAAGTCTTGCTTTCTCTGTCGCCATCTGTGAAACCATGGCAGGAAAACTTGTTAACTTAATAGTAGGGAAAAATCTCAGACTCTTCTCAGTTATTGACACTGATGTAACTCTAATGCTTATGGAAGTGTATGTATGGCCCATTGAGGGTACTAAATAAATATCTGTTGTTAGTAAATATGTGAATCAATATGAAATGGCCTACAGCATTTATGAGAATAAGTGATAATATTTGTGAAATGATAGACCTTGACAACTGTAATTTTTTTAACTAAAATGAAATATAGATGTCAACATGATTGAGATATTATAGAAGTTAATGGTTAAGAGTTTGACTCTTACATCACATAAACATAGCTCAGTCGTGCCTGTTACTGTGTAACCTAGAACAAGACATTTCAATCTTAATTTCTCATTTGTAAATTAGAAGAAATAATTGTATAATACATGTACCGTTGTTGAGTGAGTTGGGATAATAAACTGAGTTTATTACTGAAGTTTTTTTATTATTTTGTTCAGATTCCTTTCTGAATTATCCTTGTTCAAACACAATCGTATGACTTGTAGATCCCATAAATAACTCACACAATATGTAATCTGTCCCCCTTTCCTTGTCTCCCAGGTACCAAAACACTCTATTACATGCTCCAGTTCATAAAACTTTGAATCTGTGGCTTGATATCTTTCATCCTTCTAAAAATATTCTCACCCGTTCTCTCTTCAAATACTGATTCTGCTTTGTTCTCTTCTATTCTCTTTCCCCTATTCTCTTTTTCTCTTCTCTTTTCCTCTCCCCTCTTCTTCCCTTTTTTTTTTTTTTTTCCTTTCTCTTCCTCTCCTCCTCCTTGCCCTTTTTATTCTTCTTTGTCTTTCACATTTGAGGTCATACTCTAGAACTACAATCACATGTATGGTAGAATTCTAAAATATTATGTGCCCTAGGCATCTTATAATCTTTACTGTGTTTTGTTTTACTATTTTATCTCTTAATGCTTCATTCCTCATATTTTCTAATAACCTATCTTCCAATTCCTTATTCACATGTATCTAACAACTGTTAAACCTCTTGAGATCTTAAATTTTATTATTACATTTTTCGGCTCAGTAATCTTTATAGTTTCCCATTCTTTGGCAAGGCTATTAACATTTCCTTTTATTTCTATCAGCATATTAATCACATTAATTTTAAAGTATCTGTGTGATAATCCTTTATGTAAATATCTTGATGATTTGTAATTTGTATGTTTTCTTGGATTTTGGTCACATACCTTATCCTCATATTCCTGATAATTTTTGTTTCAGTGATAGGCATTGCATATTTTAAATTTAGGGAAAAAATAACTAGAGACTAAGTATACTCTTATCTTTCTTCAGAAAAAATTTATATTTACTTCTAGCAGATGGCTAGAGACACTAGCCACTTGGATCACATGAATCTAAATTTAGGAAATAAAATAATGCAAAGTTATGCTTCAGTCCTTGAGGGTAGTTCTACTTGTGTCTCTTTTTTAATTCTATAATGTATTTCTATGGGGACCCTGCCCAAAGTACCAGGGATTTTTTAGGTCACCTTCTCCCTAAATGGCCTTCAACTCTAATTTTTGTTCTGTTAGGCCTAAAAGACAGTCAACATTCCTTTCCTCCTTGTTGACCTCACAGATATTCTTCTGCAATGCCTTAGGGGCAATATGGTCCCCAATACTAAACATTATAGGTATCTTTCTCCTGCATCACAGCCCTTTAATTTTCCACTGCTGTTAGCTTTCCAGGGCCTTCACTGGATCTATAAAATCTCCTAGCTGTCAGAGCTATTTTCAGTAGATGAATTGCCACTACTGGAAGCCCAATGCACTCTACATTTTTAAATTACATCTCACTTCACACACTCTTTTATATAAAACTACACAGACCAGCAACACTTCAAAAGCCATTTATGCCTGAGATTGCAATTTTTTGATGTTTTGCATGAGTGAAAAATCAGATTTTGGCGATGACCTTGAGCAGTAGGATATAAATAACTCCCACATGCTTAGTATTTCAATAATGGAACATTAGGCATAAGTGGGTTAAATTAGAAGACATTACTTAAAATATAAATTACTTATATGAGATTATACATTTCTGAGTTGCCTACTATAACATCTGGAACTGTATTTGTTAGGTATCTCATTATATGCAAAGGATAAAAGTATAAAAATAAAAACTTTGAAAAATGTATGTTATAATTGTAACTTTTTTAGATTCAAACCTATAATCTCAAGAGAACAGAAACCCTTGGGAATAGAATAAATAGTTATCAAGTTAAAGAAGAGGGAAAGAAAGATCAATTTCTTGGTCTCCACTAGATGAATGAAATGTTGCACTGAAGTCAGCCTTAAAACTTTAGGTAACCTTGAGTAATTCAGATGAGATAAATATGTGATAGTCTTAAACCTTTTTTTTTTGGAAATCATGGAGAGAGGCGGGAGTGAGGGGAAGAGAAAGAATGTGTGTGGGGGTGTGTGTGTGTGTGTGGGTGTGTGTGTGAGAGAGAGAGACAGAGAGAGAGTAAGAGTGCTATGAGTTGTACAAACATTCATGGATGATTATCAGTCCTGGGGAACAACATTGAAAGAAATATGGCATGCAAAGTTGGACCACTTGTCTGTTCTGCCCGAAGCCAGCAGCTTTGCTCATACCTGAACTATTATGCTCAGAGGAGATAATGAATGGTGTTTCCAGTAAATTTGCCTGTGGATACAAACTGATGGAGCAATGTAATAGATAAACCTCCATCTCATATAAAGTCTTAGTGTCTCTCCAGAGGATTTTCTTATGGTTTCAGGAACATTATTTCATTTTATTAGAGTTATAAGTTAACAGTCTTTAAATCATAGTTTGCTTTTCAGGACACTGACCAGGACTCTCTGCCCTAATTACAAGCAAAAATAAGCAATTCTATTCAGCTCACTGACTAAATTATTTAACAACCAAAGGAGAGAGTTTATCTTATAAATGATATCTAAGTTGCTGTCCCAATTGTAGACTCATTTTTTTAATATTGGTGAAGAATAGTTTCTTTTTCAGTAAACTTTGGGAGAAATTATATTTTAATTATCAATTATGTTTTAAAATGTATTCCTTGACTAAGTTTTTTTTAATGAACTTGGCTAAATTTAGATCAAGGATGTCTTTTAAATTGCAATACCTCATACTTGTGATAGGTTATTCTCTTTAGATGTTTGATATCTTATTTAGATATATTGATTTTTATTCTATCAATTTATTTTCATGAGTAATTAGACTAAACAAATTTTCCTAAGGAAACTTTCAAAATAATGGAGAACTTTTTTTAATTAAGAAAAATATCTTGTATGCATATTGTACATACATACTGTTGAATCTTATTTCAAGTTCTGCATCTAGAGTATTTGATGATAATGTCACCTTCTGTTTAATTCATACAGCATAACTGCACATTTGCTAATCTGCTTAAGACAAGCAGCTAATTACACCCAAGGCATAGATTTGATTTCCTTATAGGCTAATTCTCAAAAGGAGTGCCTTCTTTAAATGATCCATTTGTCTGCCTCTTTTCTTTTCTTCTCTCTTTGCATTTTCTTCTTTTTAATCTTATAGTAGTTTATTTGTTCTTTCCCGCCCTCCCTTACTTTCCCTCTTTCCTCTGCACAGATTTCATAAGTTTCCTGTAATGTGTGAGACATATTAATGAATTTCAAAATATTCAGATACACAAGGCAATAATAATACAAATTGAGGCACATTTATTTTTCTTACATTCTAACTACTGTTGCTTTATTACATTCCATCTTTCTAATTGCAGAGTATATATATATGTATATATATACATACACACACACACACACACACACACATTACAAGACCCCTAGCAAATGCTATGCTGTTTCCTATACATATATACCTCTGATAAAGTTTAATTTATGAATTAGTCACAATAAGGCATTAATAGCAATAACTACAAATAGATATAGTTACATAAAAGACTATAAAAACAATTGTTATAAAAACAATTATAACAATATGCAGTGATAA